AATTTGACACTGAAAATCCAGCTGAAAAGGCAGGTGTTAGGTAGCCCTGAGCCTAACTTTGGTCCCAAAATGAAATGAAAATGAATTAATATATATTACTGACCGGGCCGACGAAATTATTTGGAAACGAGGTTTGCAAAATTGACGGAGGCCCGAGTGCGGAGCACGAGGGCCGGAGTCAAATTTTGCAAGCCGAGTTTCCAAATAATTTCGTACGGCTGAGGTCAGTAAGATTTTTCCTACATGCCGCATACCTAAGTAGTTTCGACAGGTTTTGGCGACACTTTTATACAATTGTTTTGTCCATAATTTCCTAACAGTGATTGCGCTACTGCTGTGGATAAAGGAAATTTATAGAAGAAAATGCATCAAAATACCTTACTTCAAAAAGAATCGCGTCTGAAAATATCAACTCAGAATGGCACAACTGGATATCCAAGGAACATAATACATGAATAATTTGCCAAGACATAAGAACAAGAAGAAGGTATAATATTCCTAGTGATTAAACGTGAATTTTCCAGTGCTCTTGCAAGAATCTTTTTTTTTATTGATGTAATCGTACTTTGTTGATGCCCTATGGCTAAAATTTCGTGAAATACATTATATATTTTCCATATTTTACGTGTTTGTTTCGAGGAAAGGACTACAACTGTCAAATAATAACGCAATAACTTAGGCCCAAGGTATCAGTGGACATATCAAACAAAGATAAGACAACAAGCGGTAATGGATTTCTAGGCGCATATCTTACCATAATTTCGGCTTTGTAACCAATACAAAATATTTCAAAACCCTTGATAAGCAGAGCAGATATAGTATTTTTACCAAAAAATGTTAGTTTTCTAATTTTACGCGGCAAATATGCAAAAATGATGTCAGTTATACATTCCCTGTCAATTATACCTCTGAGCTAATGCGATAAACTAGTTTAGAGGTCATTGCCCTGGGCAGTAAACCCAGGCAGTAAACTTTTGTTTCCTGCCCGGCCTATCAAATAACATGGCATTTTGATACCGGCAGTTTCTTGGTCATAGTTTTACTGCCCGGCTCGTGCTGTGCTTAACCTTCCAGGCGGTGGGGGGGGGGGGCATTTTTTTGCCCCCCCCCTTTACTTTTTTCGATATATCTCGAGAACCGTTGCGCCGATCGTCACCAAACTTTCAGTACCCTCCCGGGAGCAGCTAGCGCACATGGTGACAAAAAATTTTCCAAAGGCTATGATAGGTTGGCCGCTAATGACGTAAGAGTGACGTCATTTTTGCCATTTTCGACCCAAAAAAAGGTTTCGCGGGAAGAGCTGTCAGGCCTATTGCTTTAGAGATACAGAAAAATGTTTTTGACATAAAAGGTGTGGAATCAAAAGGGCTACAAAACTGCTATTTCGGTTTTTCGAATTTTTTTGGATTTTGACCCCCAAAAATCAAAAAATAGATTTTTTGAATATAATAGCCGAAGAATACAAAAAGTTTTTTGAATTTCGAAAAAACCGGAATATATGTGATAGTCCCTACCACTTTCTATCTAGATACCAAATTTGAGATCGATACCTCGTTTTTTGGCCAAGTTATAGCGAAAAAACTGTTCAAAATTGATGACGTCAAATTTTCAAACTCAATTTTTAGCCATTCTAGACCTCGTAGCGCAAAACAAAGACCACCATTAGACTCCCCGTGACGAGCTGCATCGAATCGATACCCATTTTATGCAAAAATATCAACTTTGAAATTTGACCTTTTTTTGACCTGACCTTGACCTGACCTCCACCAGAAAGTGACCTAAACCGTACCTGATGGTCTTATAACCAACACCATTGAGTTGGAAATGAAAAACTGGCCATAAAACATGCATCACATAACCTTAGTAAAGTTGGGCTCATGTGGTGACCCTTGGTGACCTTTGGTGACCTGACCTGTGACCTGACCTGGTATGACCAGTGACCTCTAATAGCAACATATGTACTAGACAACTGACGCCTTATCGCTGATTTTCGACAAAATGCGTTTTACTCGGTGTTATAGCGCTTTCCCTTGAAGCCCTGTGAACGGTGAAACATTTTATATTTGACCTGACCTGTGACGTCATCGGTGACCCCGAGGTCAATGAAATTTGGTTTCCCTCGACAAATTTGACAGGGCTATCGAACGCCGTTTGAATTTTCCGGATCCGTCCAGTAGTTTCGGAGATACGGGGGGGGGGCAAAAAAGTGCCCCCCCCCCCCACCGCGTGGAAGGTGGCTGGTAGGCCCACCGCCTGCCGGGTTAAGACATACCCCGGCATGTAGGAAACTGGCATTTTGTCTTATCTTTCCAAGAAAACACAACATGCAGACGAAATGAATACAAAGTGCCGCAATATTATGATCAGGCAACCAAGGATGACTTTTAAGATCCTCTGTCGCCTAAAGAAAGGATGTACGATGATGACGTAATATTTATACATATGCCCTTTTGGTTGAATTACTCAAGAGAAATGAATTTTCCCGTAGTGAATAATACTCACAATGTTGATTTCATTAGAATTTAATGTCGTGTTGGATGATTTTTATCAATAAAATCATTCACGAGGCAGTAGTTTGCAGTCCTAAAACCTTTTTTTTGCAGTGTTTAAATCAGCTGGTTAAAAACTGTGTTATGGCGCATCTGTTTCGAAATCCGTGTTTGTTCCCGCGTTTGAGATGGGGGAGGATATTATATCGTTTTTATTACGAGCGAGCGAGCGCAGCGAGCGAAGCGAAGTCTTTTCAATATAACGGAAAAATCTCAGTATGAGCGGCCCGGCCCGGCCCGGCCCGGCCCGGCCTGTAACGCTTTTGAGAGGCTTATATCTCAGCAACCGCTGGACCGATTTGCCTGCGGTCTTTTTTGCTGGGTATCCCCATCCCTTCTACCCCGTAATTGACTACTTTTGATACATCTCAGTGACCGTCGTGGCACGTGCCACGTGAAAAGTCCAGGGTCTTCAAGCAGTTTTGCAAAAGTAGGTAATGATTTTGAGAGGCCCATATCTCAGCAGCGGCTTGAGCGATTGTCTTGCGGTAATTTTTATAGGGTAGCTGCATCCCTTCTACCAAAGGTCGGATACTCTTGATCTATGTGAGTGACCCCCAATGCACGTGCAAAATACAAAAAAGAGGTGCCAAATTTGTTCCCATTTCAGTAACTCGGTAATTACTGGGGCGATTTCGCTGAAACTTGGCATACAGGTAGGCATCCACCAGGCAATGAATTTCCATGTGTTGCGGTTAGGGTGCTACTGCACGTGCGCACGTGCAGGGGGCGTTTCCAGCTCTCGAGAACGGCTGGGCCGATTGCGCTCAAATTTGATACACGGTTGGGGACCGGATAGTAGGGTACCGTGCAAAAGTCATTTTGGACCCCGTTTGCACGTGCGCACGTGCAGAATGCCGTTTCCAGATCTCAGGAACGGCGGGGCCGATTGCGTTCAAATTTGGCACACCGCTAGCGACCGGTTAGAAGGGTGCTTTGCACAAGCCCATTGGAAGTACCCTCTCGCCCTTCCGCACGTGCAGGGCTCACTATCTCGCTCGCTCGTTCTTCGCCCAAAAGGCGTTTTACTGGTACATATTACTTGGCGACTTCTCAGTACATGTGAGTTATAAACACATATGTTTTACATGAATCGTATCTTTCTCACGAGCCAACAAGCCATGGCGGATAGGATGGCTTTGGCGGATAGGAAAAAGCAGATGTTGATCTCGCTTCCTCAGTTAGGAACATGGCCGAATCTGTAGTTTTTTTTTATATTGTGATTTTTGACTATCTAATATCTATAGTTCATTATTTGGTTAGTACCTGCGTCCTGCAACATTTTAGGAGAATGTAAAAAATAAGAACGCTTGTGGTAAATGTGATTGCTGCTCGCTCACTGTGCAGTGTGCAGTCTCCAGAAACACATTTCAGTAATTCAAGTTCTTTTTGTCCTTGCTTTTTTGATTTAATGCTTTTTGTACGCAATACCTCTTTGATTACAGGTGATATTCAGCTGAAGACTGTAATTGAGTTTCAAAATTGTGGTATTTGTGGGGCCAATTCAGCCAAAATCAGGCTGCTGGTAGTTTTGGTTGGACAATGGGTGGCTGCTGGGTGGGGCGGCTACTGAAATTGCCAACATGTGGCATCTCATGTAGGGGTAAGCCAGAATCAAGAGTGCAGGTTTTTTAGTATGCCGGTAACTTGGTGTTTTTTTTTTTGCTTGGGGCGTGGTAGCATGCCGGTATCCCAGAAAATTTTTGTGGGGCGGGGCGGTGCCGGTAGCAGCCCATTGGGAAAACTTTGCAACTCTATTCTGGACCTCGTAGCGCAAAACAAAGACCACCATTAGACTCCCCGTGACGAGCTGCATCGAATCAATACCCATTTTATGCAAAACAATCAACTTTGAAATTTGACCTTTTTGACCCGATCTTGACCTGACCTCCACCAGAAAGTGACCTAATCCGTACCTGATGGTCTTATAACCAACAGCATTTTCCATGCACATGTTTATGTGTATTTTCCTTTCACCGGAGTCCACCGGCGGTTTATTATTTAACGAGTACACATGAAGTGCATTTAAACGCTTCAGTCTGGGGCAACAGCCATGGTGCCTGGTTCGGTATAACGAACGAGAATAGGCATATGGATGGCGCTACCGGTGGAGGTGGTAGGAAGGATATGATAGTTAGTCATGTTACGGGATACACTGTTAGATGATTAGATATAGGAATGCCACCGGTAGCGCCAACACTAAAGAAATGTATGAACAGAGACATATTCACAGCCTATTCACTGTCCATTTCAGTACACGTAGCATAGCATTAGCCACAGATGGCGCCACCGACGGCCGCAGATGGCGCTGATCTCAACAACACATGAACAGCACTGGCGTCAAGGAACAAAGACTTAGTTTGGGAACTGGACAGCGGCGGAACGCACGGCCGCGGGCCTCGTCTTGAACATGATAGACGCCTATTTCAGTATCAGACTCTGTGGTTACAGAGACTCCTCATCTTCCAAGTCGGCCAGGCTGAGGCGCAGGCGCCAAGCAGCGCGGCAGCGACGCAGCGCACCGACGTCGGCGGCCCCGCCGGCCCAGCTTCCCGTCATCAAGTTGAGCTCCTTCTCCTACTCCTCCGACTCGAGTAGGCTGGATGCTGACGTTAAGCAGCGCGGTATAGGTGCAGCGGACTGACGTCGGCGGCTTCACTCGCCCAGCGTCCTGTCAGCGTCAAGTTGAGCTCCTACTCCTTCCGTATCTGCAGCTGGAGGGCCTCCTTCTCCTACTCCTCCGATTAGGCCAGGCTGGGGTGTCGACGTTAAGCAGCGCGGTAACGATGTAGCGGACAGACGTCGGCGGCTTCGCTGGCCCAGCGTCCTGTCACCGTCAAGTTGAGCTCCTTCTCCTTCCGTATCTGTAGCTGGAGGGCCTCCTTCTCCTTCTCCTCCGATTCTGTCAGGTTGGGTGCTGACGCCAAGCAGCGCGGTAATGATGCAGCGGGTAGACGTCGGCAGCTCCCCTGGCCCAGCTTCCCGTCATCGCCAAGTTGAGCTCCTTCTCCTTCAGTGTCTGCAGCTGGAGGGCCTCCTTCTCCTACTCCTTCGACTCGGCCGGGCTGGGGTGTTGACGCTAAGTAGCGCGGTAACGATGCAGCCGACAGACGTCGGCAGCTCCCCTGGCCCAGCTTCCCGTCATCACCAAGTTGAGCTCCTTCTCCTTCAGTGTCTGCAGCTGGAGGGCCTCCTTCTCCTACTCCTCCGACTCGGCCGGGCTGGTGTTGACGCTAAGTAGCGCGGTAACGATGCAGCCGACAGACGTCGGCAGCTCCCCTGGCCCAGCTTCCCGTCATCGCCAAGTTGAGCTCCTTCTCCTTCAGTGTCTGCAGCTGGAGGGCCTCCTTCTCCTACTCCTCCGACTCGGCCAGGCTGGGGTGTTGACGCTAAGCAGCGCGGTAACGATGCAGCCGACAGACGTTGAGTTGAGTTCAGCATTGAGTTGAAAATGAAAAATTGGCCAGAAAACAAGCATCGCACAACCTTAGTGGTGACCCTTCGTGACCTGACCTGTGACCTGACCTGGTATGACCATTGACCTCTAATAGCAGCATATGTACTAGACAACTGACGCCCTATCGCTGATTTTCGACAAAATGCGCTTTACTCGGTGATATAGCGCTTTCCCTACAAGACCCGTGAACGATGAAACATTTTATTTTTGACCTGACCTGTGACGTCATCGACGACCCCGAGGTCAATGAAATTTGGTTTCTTTCAACAAATTTTGACAGGGCTATCGAACGCCGTTTTAATTTTCCGGATCCGTCCAGTAGTTTCAGAGATACGGGGGGTGCAAAAAATGCCCCCCTCTCACACACACACACACACACACACACAACGAATTTTATTACAAGCATAAATGGACAGAAATAAAAATAAGATGAACATGCAATTGGCGCAAAAGTGCCTTAGCACTTGATTCATGGCGCCTTTTGCTTAATCAGCATTTTGATCTCGTACACTTTTTACCTTATTATCTATGTGTTTGCTTACTTATTCATTTATTGACTACTTGTTGACCGCCGCTCGTGTAGGTGTGGTTTCTTTTACCCGCTCAGTAATAAAGATGGATCAGCAGCCGGCAGCAGCAGTGCCAGGGGTTCCCAGAACTACAGACGAAGGTGTACATGATGTCATTAAAAACGTTTAGTTGACGTAATATAATTTTGGACCTGTTGTGCTAATGTCAGGAGTTGTTCGTGGTTGTTGGTTGTACCGTGTAGGATGAGATTCAGTTTATATGAGTCTGGTTTGAGGGCGAAGTCTTCACAAATATTATGGGTGATGAATCTGTATAAGGTTCGTCGTTGTTCTTCATATGATGGACAGTGAAGAAAGTAGTGTTTAACATTTTCCAACTCGTTGCCACAGTGACAACTCGGCGAATCTACTCTTTGTATTGTAAATTGATGCGCATTTAGTTTTGACATTCCTACTCTAAGCCTCGTTAATAGACAGTTGCCTATTTTCTTACCCAGGGAATAATATTTCAGTGGGTGCTCTTTTGCCTGCATTTTGTAAATTTCTTTGTTGAATGCCTTTTTTGTCCTCAGAGCTCTGCTCTCTTCCTTAAGTTAATTCCAAAGTCTCGTAGTTGATGGAACATACGAATTATGATATTTTTTAGTACGATTGACTGGTTCCGTTCTTGTTGTTGCGTTTCTTAAGGGTCTATCGATTTGATTGATTCGTTGTGGTGGTATTATTTCTTTGATATAGGATGGGATTTTTGGATTGTTAATGATAGAATAGAACATACTAAGTTTATGTTGTTTTCGTCTTTCTGATAAGGTAGACCATCCCAGATCTGTTCTGAGTTTGTCAGATGAAGTCCGAGTTAGGGTGCCGGTGATAACCCTAGCAGCCCTATTTTGGAGTCTTTCAAGTCTAATTGCGTCGCTGGTCGTTATAAGTCCGTCGTAGATCATGTCTGAGTTGTCGAAGTAGGGTCTTATGTAAAGTGTGTATATTTGCTCTAGTATCTTTCTAGGTAGATATGACGCTATCGGGTACAGGGGTCCTAAGTTTCTGTTTACTTTGCTTATTATTTCGTTGACGTGCTCCTTGAACATCAAGTCTTCAGAAAACGTAAGGCCTAAGTGCTTATGGTTTTTGTGTATGGGTATGAGTTCTCCTCCAAAAGTTAAATGAGGCAAGCTTTTATCAGTTTGCTTGTTGCTGAATGTTTGTTGAACTAGTTTTGTAGCATTAAATGTAATCAACCACTTCTCCCCATATTTATAAATTTCGTTCGAGTCGTTTTGCAGGGAATTTTCCACTTCAGTCAAAGTGGCTGACGTATGTGAAGCATACATAGATGTGTCATCTGCAAAAAATAGAGTTTCGTTTGATGTTTTGTTAGATAGATCGTTTAAATACAGAAGAGCCAAGAGAGGACCCAGGACCGAGCCTTGTGGACAGCCTGCATTAGTAGTGAGAACGGTTGAATAGGAGTCTTCTATTTTCACACGCTGCCTTCTATCTGATAAGTAAGAAGTGAGCCAATTTAGAAGGTTGCCGGTTATTCCAAATTCGTATTTACATTTATGAAGAAGACCGTTGTGCCAAATTTTGTCAAAGTATCGGGAAATGTCCAAATATATAGCAGTAAAGTCTTTTCCATTGTCGATAGACTTGTACAAGTTATGTGAAAGGTACATCAACTGTAACTGGGTGCTATGATTTGGCCTGTAGCCACTTTGTTTTTCAGTGAGAAGATTGTTGTTCATTAAATGCTCATATATATGCTTGAATACCAGTCTCTCAAGAACTTTTGAGAGGCAAGATAGGAGGCTAATTGGGCGGTAATTCGATGCATGTGATGGCGATCCCTTGTTTTTAAAGATTGGTTTAATATTAGCAAGCTTCCAAGATCCTGGAAAGATGCCTTCATTTAGTGATTTATTGAATATCTTCGCTAATGGCTCGGCAATGATAATAGCAGTAAGCTTTAAAATTTTAGCGGGGAGTTCATCTGGACCAGTTGATTTATTTGGATCTAAGGCATTCAGGGCTTTTAGGACTTCTTGACTGCTTACGTTAATCGAATTTAAGGTTGGAAAAAGTACCGGCTGTGAAGTCAACTGGGTAGCGTGGGTATCGGGAACATCAATGTTTGATTGTGCTGCAAAAAAGTTGTTAAGAAGCGATGCTTTGTCCTTGCTTTCAGTAATTGTCTGGCCATCTGTCGTCTCAAGAGGTGGTATAGCTTTATCTACTTTTCTTCCAGTTATATTACGTAGTGTTTGATGATACTTGTGGGGGTTCTGCTTGTTTTCCAGCAATACAGACACTTGTGACTGCATGTATTGTTGTTTTCTTTGTTTTGTTATTGTTGTTGTTAGGTTGCGTTGTTCTCTCCACCTTCTCCAGTCATATTCAGTCTGGTTGTGCTTGGCGCGTTTAAACAGTCTGTCTCGTTTTCTGATTGCACGTTTAAGGTCAGCGGTCACCCAAGGTTTGTCTCTCTGTCTTATAGTCACTTTTTTGTTGGTATTGCTTGGTGTGCAGCATTTAACAAGTTAGTTGTGAAATCTTCTATTGCAGTATCAATGTCCTTTTCAATTATGTCATTCCAGTTTGTGTTCATAAGTGTTTGTGTTAGTCGGTCGGCGTTCAATTTGTCATAGTCCCATATTGTCTTGTACGAGTTTGGTATTGCTATCGGCTTCATTTGCAATGATACAAATGTTGGAAAATGATCTAATGTTGAGAAAGATGATAGGATACCACTGTCATTAATCAGTTGTGTATTATAAACAAAGCATAGATCACGGAGGTTTTTTTACTTCAGGTGATGGTCTGGAGGGTTCACTTATAAGTTGTGCTAGCTCCAGTGCTTCTGCTACATTTTTCAATTTGTTATCAAATAATGTGATACCACTGTGGTTGTTTTCGTTTTCTAAGTAAATATTACCTGCGTTAAAGTCACCTAGGACAATAATGCTGGAGGGATTGTGTGCATGGGCTGCACTTGCACTTTCACTAAAGTTGTCTAAAAAAAATTGTCTAGTCTATCTGTGCTGAGGTTGGGTGGCAGGTAAAGGCAGCAGATGATTAAGGTAACGTTGTTTAGTTTTAATTTGGCCCAAATCCATTCTTCATCATTTATTTCAAGTTCTGTGAGCCTAGTAATTGGTATAGTTGACTGGCAATATAAAGCTACTCCTCCTCCTCTTCTGTCCCGATGTCTGGTCATTGGTGAGTGAAACCCATCTATGTTGTATAGGCTTGTATGCACATTCGCATCTAGTTTAGTTTCTGTCAATGCCAATATGTTTACACCATGTGTTTCTATGAATAGTTGTAATTCCTCAAGTTTATGGGGTGCTGTTATGCTATTAATGTTAATATGGGAGGCTAGCAATGTATCATGACTGAGTTTAGGTCCAGGATTAGTTTCCACACCTGCAATATGAAGCAAGTCTTTGATGTTGTGGTGCAGATTGAGGTGTCTCCATTGAGAGTTGGTTAATGCTTTGTTCATGATAACTTGATTTTGTTGGTAGTTGTATTTTGAGCTGAAAGTCTGTCTGTCATGCATGCATTGTTCAAGTGTTCTTTTGTCAATGAATGATGGAATATTCTTGTCACAGGACCCCCCCAGCACTGCCCCACCAGCTGCTGCCATCAGAATTGTTTGTGTGAGATGTAACGAGCGAATAATACTGTGATATTGACAGCGGACACCATGGGACATTTTGATTGCATTCAGAGCATTGAAGTTTGTAATACATATTCATTCTCACCGCGCAGAAGGTGGCCGGGAGGCCCACCGCCTGTCGGGTTAACCATGGATGATATAACACTGGATTGGTGTCTCGTGGAAATTAACATTGGGATCCGCGACATTGGGATCAGGCCTGCCATCTAGCGAGAGAATTATCGTAAGTTAGGAGCAAGCCGAGTGAACGCCATCTCTCAGCATTATGACACACGTGGGTGTGGTGTGTTAGTTGGCTTGAAGTGCATATTCCCACGAGTTGGGGGTAATCTTACTTGACCTGAGACGACAAAAAATGTCTTAAATGCTAAAGCCAAAAACGTCAAGCAGCCTTTAGGTAATAACGAAAATAAAATGCGTAAGACGGTGTGTATTGAAACGCCCAGACCGATCGGCTTGTACGACCTTTTATATGGTCATTTACTCACAACGAAACCAGCAGTTTGACAATATGTCTACATATTGGTAGGCTTATTCCTTCTTCTCCGAATTTCGCCCGATTTTCTTCATCTTAGTAAATGTTACGGCACGTGCCACGTGCCAACTTAGGGGTGTCGAAATTGTTCCACATAAAGTAACTCCGTAATGGCTGGGCCCATTACAGTAAAACTTTGTCAATAGTTAGGCACCCAGTGCCCAATGCATTTCCATGTGTCAATATGGGGGTGCTACTGCCCGTGCGCACGTGCGGGGTGCCGCTTCCATATCTCAAGAACGGCTGGGCGGATAACACTCAAACTTGGTACGCAAATGTCACATCGATGCTCGCACTGCATTGATTAGCTGCTTACATTGGTGCAGAGTCATTAGGAAAACGATGAAATGAGATGCGTGGTGTTTATGCCTTTCTGGTCCAGCAGCTGATTGATCCGCAACAGGAGATCCCTGTTTGTGAAGGCTTCGTCTCCCTTTTCCATTCCTTGTTTAAAATAACATAACAATGTACGAAGAAGATCACACATCAAAGTTATAAATTAACTTTGAAGCGACCTTCTCCTTGATATTATGTCAAAAATGAAAGAATTATTTACATTTGCATTCGGGCACAGCCCATCATCAGATGTATATTTGAAAAGACAGCATATACATCGTCACAAAAACAAGAATCGACATTTCAAATTCAGCTCGTGAAAATGACACATCAGTATCCTTCGCGCCGTATGGTACCTATCTATATAAAACACACCTATAAACACACACACAAGCACAATTTTGGGGCACATACATACGATAAACTTGTTCTCACATGATACGCCACGAGGACAGATTTTCGTTCAGCCCAGGTTTTCTTTCCCTTATGTACAGTGATTCAGTAATTTTCCTATCCGGATGGTCCTTAGTTTTCTTCAAAATCCTAACCTCCAGTGGCGGGTCAGCCAGCTTATCTGCCTTCGACATCCCCGCGTGACACTCTGAAAAATGGTCACCGATCGGGGTAAGCTGTGTCTCGTTGGCAGCACACCTCAAATGTTCATTGTATCTAAGGCGCAAAGGCCGTTTCGACTCGCCGATATACTTACTCCACATGGTTACCCTGCGCACGTGCTAAGGAGCACTCGGCGACAAGTGGAAAGAAAAGAGCGGCTGCGTAGGGTCAGTAGAGACGGTAGAGGAGCTCGTGGAGGGCGAGGGAGACATACGACTAGGGATGTCCCCGACGCTGCCCCCGGCGCTGATGGTAGGGAGGGGCAGGTCGCAAGAGCAGGAAGAGGTCACAAGTCTGGCGGGATCCTTCTTTTGCCTTATGTCAATGAAACTGTGCTATGCAAGGTGAAGAAGGCGGCTCGTGCTTCTGGGCTGGATGTTACGGTGGCCTCATACACGCCAGAGACATTGAAACAAAAGCTAGTGCATTCATCGTTTGGCGATCCACCGTGCCCTTCGGGCAACAGGATCTGCAACACTTGCAGGAGGTTGCAGAATGGTAGGTGCACGGACAAAAACGTGGTTTATGAGCTCTCCTGTACGCTATGTGGAGCTAAGTATATCGGCGAGTCGAAACGGCCTTTGCGCCTTAGATACAATGAACATTTGAGGTGTGCTGCCAACGAGACACAGCTTACCCCGATCGGTGACCATTTTTCAGAGTGTCACGCGTGGATGTCGAAGGCAGATAAGCTGGCTGACCCGCCACTGGAGGTTAGGATTTTGAAGAAAACTAAGGACCATCCGGATAGGAAAATTACTGAATCACTGTACATAAGGGAAAGAAAACCTGGGCTGAACGAAAATCTGTCCTCGTGGCGTATCATGTGAGAACAAGTTTATCGTATGTATGTGCCCCAAAATTGTGCTTGTGTGTGTGTTTATAGGTGTGTTTTATATAGATAGGTACCATACGGCGCGAAGGATACTGATGTGTCATTTTCACGAGCTGAATTTGAAATGTCGATTCTTGTTTTTGTGACGATGTATATGCTGTCTTTTCAAATATAGGGGAGAGCGGGGCCAGTTGAAACACGGGGTCAGATGAAACATGGCTTTATTTTCAACAGTATGCAACATATGGCGTTGCCGACACCACTGCGCATCCGCGCTCGACCACTTCCTTTGTCAACGGCGTTTGGGCGGCAAACGGACGGTAATTTTGATTTGACACTTGTTTTTGTGTTTTTGAGGGGCGTTTGGGAGAAATCGTTTTTATGAATATTTTGTGATATCTCATATACCTTTGTTTGCTGAAAGAAGAACTCCTGGCTCCGGAATAACACCTTATTTGGCCCTTCATTCAGCATGATGCCGTCCCTCCAGCTCGTTTGACATGTGCTTTACGGCGCGTGCGAGATGGCGGGAGCGGATGGGGTCAATTGAAACGCTTCTCTGAGGGTCAGTTGAAACAGGGCCACAATCCGTTTCAATGGACCCCGGTGACCTTTGCAATGGTTTTTTGTTCAGGGGCTGTAAACATTAAAGGAAATAGTCCACCTTTGAAATGAGCTTTTAAACTGAAATAGTAGTTTAATAAAGCTCAATTTTTTACCCCTTTTTCTCCAGCCTTTTGCTTGAAAGCACACTACAGCCTGAGATATTTCTCATTTTCCTCATCCGCCCATTTTACCATAGTCTATGTACTTTATGTCACCTATTATGAGGAACTTTGCACTTTTAGCTTTCCAACGACCTATTGAATGTAGCATTTGGAAAAGTAAACCGGACAAAATATCTCCTTAAGAAAGTTGCCTTAAAGAGGAAAACATCCCATTGTTAAGGATAGGTGCAATTGACCCCATGGGCTGGTTCAATTGACCCTCGCATCGGGGTCATTTGAAACGGGCGTAGAGCTGTTTTATAAGCATGCGTTTGGCAGCAAAATATGTTTGAAACATAATTTTACATATCTTAAAATAAAGCCAAAAGAGCATATTTTTTCATGGTATTGTGCATTTATCGATATGACAACTAGATCTCGCTGTGCATGTCAACATATAAAAAGTGGTTCAACTGGCCCCGCTCTCCCCTACATCTGATGATGGGCTGTGCCCGAATGCAAATGTAAATAATTCTTTCATTTTTGACATAATATCAAGGAGAAGGTCGCTTCAAAGTTAATTTATAGTATTATCAATGCTCCTTGCAAAAGCACTACACGTCTGTATGTATGTATGTATGTATTACAATCATGGACAATCCACACGGGGCGTGGCGATTACAGTCCAGAGTCTGAGACGGGTTGGAACAAAAACATGCAGGGGCAGTAGAACACAGGCATAACGATTTAATCACTGGACACTCACTCTCTATATACATACGGACAATTCAAGTCAGCGCGCCACACACGGCTGCGGATACCCCCTCCCCCTGACACGGGTCAGCGTCGGGCGATCGTCATCGCCGGACAGACTGCAGCCTTGGCCGCACGGGCGAATGGGGCGGGGCGCTGTTCGATGACGCCAGGTGGCAGACTGTTGAGCAGCGCCGCGGCCCGGTAGCCGAACCGTCGCTTGCCTGTCTCGAGTCGCGAGCGTGGAAGGTGGAAAAGGTGGTCTTGCCGGGTGGACCTCTTTCGCGCGTCACTGTTATAGGTGAACATGGTAGCTAGTTCTTCGGGCTCGCCGTTCCTTATTATTTTCTGAGCAGTTACGAGGGTTTGAATATCGGCCATAGCTTTCAGAGGTATCCATCCAAGCGAGTCGCGGAGGCCAGAGACGTGGTCGAATTTACGGCGGCCGAAGATGACCCGTGCTGCGAAGTTCATAATTTTTTGGAGCCGGTCAAAGTTTTTCCGGGAGCCATTTCCGTAGACAGTGAGGCAGTACTGGACGCGCGAGATGACAAGTGCCGTCACGATCGTTTTGAGGATGCCGTCTGGGAGACAGTGTCGTGCGTGGGAGAGGCCGATCAGTACGCCGATGCAACGACGGCTCAGCTCGGCTACGTGTGCCTCCCAGGTGAGTGCGCCGTCGAATACAACACCCAGGTTTCCCACCTGAGTACACGGCTGGAGCTCAGCGTCACGGAATGAGATTTTGAAGCGAGGCAGTTTACGTAGATTTTGTCGACTACCGAATACCATGAGTTGAGTTTTAGAAGCGTTGACTTTCAGGGCGTGTGCGCAGAACCAGGCGTTAAGTGACGCGAGTGATGCCTCCATGCGCGAGATGAGGCTCCTAATGTCGTCGCGTGGGCCGCTCACCAATATCTGGGTGTCGTCGGCGTACTGATAGGCGGTGGCATCTCCAGCAAATAGTGAAAGGTCATTCGAGAATATTGTGAAAAGCAGGGGACCCAGCGCCGATCCCTGGAAAACGCCCACGGTGTTTGGGAGCGGTCGGGAGGTCATCTTACGGCCGGTTTTGTCTTTCAGGGACACGCTCTGCGTGTGACCATGGAGATAAGCAGAAAACCAGGAGGTCTCAATGCCGTACATTTCAAGTTTTTTGACAAGGAGTTCATGATTGATGACGTCGAAACATTTGCTGAGATCTATGAGGCACAGCATTGAGATCTCACGATACACACGATACACATCAAAGTTGTTTTAGGCGGCTATCTTGGGCCAGGGCTGCGGAGTTGTAGTCAAAGCCAGCGGTTCTGTTCTGACTCGGAGTCGGTTGATTTTTAAAAGCTGTAGGTAGTCTGAGTATGAATCGAACGTCACCGAAAAGTCATCGACTCCACAGACTTACCAGGGCTGCAGAGTCGGAGTCAGAGTCGGAGTCTGTGTGAATCGATAGTTCTGCCCGGAGGAGTCGGAGTCGATATTTGAATACCGGAATCGGAGTTGGAGCCAAAATCACTGAAATTTCATCGACTACGCAGCACTGGTTGGGTCCTTTTCATAGAGCGTCTTGAGGCCATTCTTATAAAGAAAAAGGACGGAGGGACGGAAGGAAAAAAAGAACCCAATGAATTAAACGATTCCGTCCTTTTTGGTTATCATAAAGGTTCCGTCCCTCTACCCCTCCCCCTTCGTTGTTTTGAGCTAGGATGCGTTTTTCGTCTAAATGACCAAGAGCTTTAGTAAATGAAACAGGAATTATTTCCTGCAATATTCTCTTATAAATTTCGTCACAAAGAATACAATAAGACTAAGAAAATACTGTGTGATCGCTATATGGGTATAATTAAATGAGAACCTGTAATTATTTGGGATCATATTTGAATTTTTATGGGACCGGGGACTGTTGTCTGCTACGATACATAGCCTTGGCCAGAGGCCTTGGCTACGATCAAGGATAATATAGATAGGCAAATAATGTAATATGTTGTAGTCTTTCCTGCTAGGCTGAAACCCACCAAAGATTGTTTTTGCGTATAAATGTGGTAATGCCTGTGTCTTACTCAGTGATAGGATGTCTAATAAGCGGTAAGGGAACAACGCAGACACCCTGAGTTAGCGTGGCGGCTCGGGACAGGCGGTAGAGATACAAGAGGAGGGGATACTGATAAGGCATCTTATCGCTCTAGGGGACGACGCGGCGCGCGGCGAACGTGCGCGGCGGCTCGGGATGAAAGGGAGGGAGAGAGGGAAGGAGGGGTGCGTATTATTTAGGCCAGGGTTCATAATGTCCAGGGCACAATGTGTCCAGTGCTCGAAATGGCCAGTGCCTTGAATTGGCCCGTGTTCACATTGTCCAGGGATTACATGGTCCAAATGTGGCCAACTGGCTGCAGATAGGGTAAATTCAAAGAGGCCAGGGTTCATAATGTCCAGGGCACGATGTGTCCAGTGTTCGAAATGGCCAGGGTTCATAATGTCCAGGGTACGATGTGTCCAGTGTTCGAAATGGCCAGGGTTCATAATGTCCAGGGCACGATGTGTCCAGTGTTTAAAATGGCCAGTGCCTTGAATGGGCCAGAGTTCATAGTGTCCAGGGATTACATAGTCAACCCAACCCAACCAAACCTAACCTAACCTAACCTAACCTAACCTAACCTAACCTAACCTAACCTAACCTAACCTAACCTAACCTAACCTAACCTAACCTAACCTAACCTAACCTAACCTAACCTAACCTAACCTAACCTAACCTAACCTAACCTAACCTAACCTAACCTAAGGTAATGATGTTTGCCTACCGGGGATAAGGAAATAGTTTCTCGCATGAATAGATTGCAAGCAATAGTAAATCAAATATTTTTAGGTTAAGCGGTTATGCATCAGGCTTCAGGCCGAAGGCCTGAAGCCTGATACATAACCACTTAACCTAAAAATATTTGATTTACTATTGCCTGTAATCTCTCCTAAGACATTGCCTTCGGCACTGCACTGCTTCGCATTGAGCTGGTTCCGTGTTTTTTTACATAATGACGCCACTATCAGTGACTATGTAATCCCTGGACATTATGCACTCTGGCCCATTCAAGGCACTGGCCATTTTGAACACTGGACATATCGTGCCCTGGACATTATGAACCCTGGCCATTTCGAACACTGGACACATCGTGTCCTGGACATTATGAACCCTGGCCATTTCGAACACTGGACACATCGTGCCCTGGACATTATGAACCCTGGCCTCTTTGAATATACCCTATATGCAGCCAGTTGGCTGCATTTGGACCATGCAATCCCTGGACATTATGAACTCTGGCCCATTCAAGGCACTGGCCATTTCGACACTGGGCATATCGTACCCTGGACATTATGAACCCTGGCCAGAATGAATGCTCCCCGGGAAGGAGTAGGTAAAGAGAGAGACGGGGGGCGCAGGTGTTGTTTTGACGAACTGACGCTAAAGAGGGGGGAGGGGGAGCGGGGGAAGAAATGGCCTGTGGATCTTCTCTGTGTGGGGACAGCGAGGACAGTCCAGCGAGAGCGATTTAGCGTGGCGGAGTGTATACGAATTTCTCTGCGTGCAAACAAGAACTTTAAGTGCTAACGAGAAGTTGTAGTGCCACGTGACTCAGACCTCCAACCGTGATACCAGTCGAGGCGCCAGAGGACACAGGACACAGGCCAGGTGAGGGTGGAGCTACTGGGAGGCAGTTGCAAACAGTAAACACCTACCACTTACTGGATATTGCATCTCAAGGTGTCCAATCCTGCCTGTTAATGTGTATGCCCGATAAACAACGATAGCTGCAGAACGATAAGGTGGCGGTCTATAGGTACTTGGTCTGCATGTCAAATTGACCAATTTCCGTGTGAAATAACTCCCGACCAATGTCATACAGTTCACATATCGATTAGCATGCAGCCTGAAACACATTTCTCACAAGTTGCTCTCGCAACCAGCTAAATATCGTATCAATGCCGTAAAAAAGCGCTGCTGAAGAGCAGCGCTATTTCTGATGCGTTATTTTTCACGAACAACGCAAAGTCTTACGTCACCAGAGGCGTCTTTGTCTCTTTATGATACGGAAACGCGTCCTTTTGGGTGGGGGTAACGTCAATCTGGCTTCGTTCTTTTAACGGGTTCCATCTTTCGTCTTCGTCCTTTTATGATAACCAAATTCCGTCTAATCTCAGAAATGACGGAGCGTCCCTCCGTTCTTTTCTTTATAAGAATGGCCATTGAATGACATATTGAGCGGCAATGACGGTAGCAATTCCGTTTAACTTTTTCATTATAATTATAGGTAGTACTTCCGTTCGTTTTGTTCTTTGATCGGACAATTTGTTTGATTTAGGCCAAGTAAAGACCACTGAACTCTAATATATACAATACATATACAATTTGTTTGATTTAGGTTAGGCCAAGTAAAGACTCATGTGAAAAATAGCGAAAACGACACGTGCTGGCGAAGTCTCCAATAACTCCCTGTTTCACGATTTAATGAGGAAATAACATGGAACTGCTTATTTTATTACTGACCCTGCACATAAATCTATTAATTTCTTCGCCTTTACTGACATATTAACCCTCGCACGACCAGGCCATTTCTCATAACACGAACGACCAGGGGGGGGGTTGTTACGACCCCCCCCCCCTGGCGTTTCGAAACGGAAGGTCGTAGAGCTTAGCGGAAAAAAACAACGGATTGCTCTCAACGAGATCTCGCGATTGGTGGTATATTTTTTGGTCCTAGGTCAACATTTGACCTACTTATGACCGGTCAAAGGTCAAATTTTCCGAAAAAATCAAACTTTTTCAACTTTCCGCGGCGATTGCGGCAAAACGGTGGGAGATATCGACTTGAAACCTTCACTATCGTGTTCCTTGATCAATTCTCTATCGTTTGGTATGTATTTCGTTTCCCTAGCTTTAAAAATGGCGCGTTGGGAGCGCCGGAAGTCGGCAAGGTCACAGTCGGCGGCAGAAATTCGAAAAATCAAAATTTAAATTTTTGAAATCTGATTGTATTTTTGGATTTGGGAGGTCCATTTGCTCCCTATAGAAGCTAATATTGCTGCATATTCCCATTGAGGTGACAAGAATTAGCAAAATAGTGGTTCGGGCGCTTTTCAAAAATAGTACCGGACGCTGTTCCTCTTGTGACGTCATAGCTCCGTGACCTGACCTGACCCGGTCAATTTTCTTGCACCACACGATAGCCAATGCTTGCCCCAACATGCATGGGAAGTTTCATCATGATCCATCAAACAATGTGGGTATCACCGGCAGAACACCTAGGGATTCGGCGCACACGTTTGGTAACTGTCGGCCGGAGGCTGTACCTCTTATGACGTCATAACTCCGTGACCTGACATGACCCGATCATTTTTTTTCGGCAAAAGATGCGCAAAGGTTGCCCCAGAGGGTATTGAAAATTTCAGCCCGCTACGACAAGCCGTTTAGCGTGCACTTCGAAAAAACCTCAGGGGGGGGGGTTGATACACCCCCCCTAGGCGTTCTAGGGTTAACCCGCGCCCTGCTGGGGGGTGTTTGAACACCCCCCCTTGTGGTTTTTCGCGAATATCTCAAAAACGGCGGCGCGGAGCGCCGCCGTTTTTGGTACACCTTATCATACATCAATTCTACACATGTTGTGAAAATTTCAGACCAAGGTCATTCAAGGTCAGGTCACCAGGTCACTTGAAGTGACCTCACCTCATAAAAAGTTTCAATGTCTGTCATAGCTACACCGAGTGACCGATCGCTTTGAAATTTTCAGCGATTGCTAAGAGCA